GGGAACGATTTCTAGAAGAACGTTCTCAACAGCAACATCCCCAAAACATCCTCAGAACATTGCAGACAACATGTTCCACCTTTGTTAACGTATTAAATTACAGGAACGTTTCATTAGAACACATTCTGTCTTCTGAGGCGTCAGTAAAATCTTAAAAACACTTTTTAAATGTTGTATTGACAAAGTTCTTTTGTTATCATGTAACATTGTGGTAACGTTTTCTGGAAGAACATTGTCAACAGCAACATTCATAAAATGTTCTCAGGATTTTGCAGGAACAATGTTTCACGTCTGTTGATATATTAAATTACAGGAACGTTTTCATAAAAACACATTCTGTCTTCTGAGGCCTCGATAACATCTTGAAAACGTTTTTTGAATGTTGGTTTGAGAACGTTCTTTTGTTATCATGGAACAGAATCTGACAACGTCCTCCAAACATCCTCTGAACATTAAAACGTTCTGTCTTGGTTCACTTGTAACCTCTCAGGAACATTATTAGAAATGATTAATATCCTTAAAAAGTTCTTTGAACGTTGGATTAAAATGTTTTCTTTAAAACGTTATTAGAACTTGTAGGTAATGTTAGATAATATTGTGGGAACGTTCCCTGCCTGCTGGCCTCAGCTAGAATTTTTTTTTGTTCCAAAGATGTTCTAAGAAAGAAAAAGTTCATTTTGAGCCTGAAGTTTTCTTTAAGTTCCCAGAATGTTCTTTTTAAAGAGAGGATAAAGTTCTCGAAAGACGTTTTCTACATGGTGACATATGAACGTAACATCTTGTTGTCGGTTTGAGAACGTTCTTCTTCTGTTGTCATGGAACATAAGTTAAAAACATCCTCCAAACATCCTCTGAATGTTAAAACGTTCTGTCTTAGTTCACTTTTGACCTCACAGGAACATCATTTGGAATAATAAATATTTTTAAAACGTTTCTTTGAACATCAGATTAAAATGTTCTCTTTTACACATTATTAGAACTTGTAGGTAACGTTAGCCGATGTTATGGGAACGTTCCCCTTCACCTCCATAATTGCATTTGATGAACAAATTCTTGTTCCACTCGTGATGAATCCTAATAAATGTTCTCACCTTTTAACATCTTCAGATCAAGATATTTTAAAAAGACATTTTTTCTGCACTCTTCACATTTAACACCAGCGTCTTCAGCCTCGACTGGACTTTGTGTTTAGTGTAACTGTCACATGCTAACGTGCTAACGTGCTAACCATCCCAGTGCAGTACACACGGTTGTGTTGTTATAGAAAGTGGAATGTTTTGGTAAGGTTTTTGTATTTTTCTGTATACAAACCGTGGCAGTGACATAATAAACGTGTATCACTCGTAGCTGCTCCATGGACAGCGGTCAGTGTCGCTGCCGAAGCCACATGGTGGGACGTCAGTGCACTCAGGTGGAGTCTGGATACTTCTTCATGGCTCTGGATCACTTCCTGTACGAGGCGGAGGCGGCCAAAATGGGACAGGTGAGGCTGCTTTCATCCTCAGCACATCGTTATTCAGGCTCACATACAAATACAGTTACAGCAGGTAAAGCAGATGACTGAACTCAGATCAATGCACTGATTAATAGAGATGATTATAACCTAATTGTAAATCATGGACGTGTAGAGTTAATTACATTTTTTATTCATGTTCTGTCAATATTTACAAATGCACAAGTTTTCAGATCAACTCAATATTTCAGTTTATCTTAAATAATTAACTCATTTCCGTTCTCCATGTTAACTGGATAACTAGAACCTGACTTCATGTATATTCACCAAACTAAGGTTCATTGCATTTCCTGCAATCTGCTGCCTCAGTTTTAGTGCATAAACTGTATTTATATTTTCTTTCATTGTATTTGAGCTGCTCACAGAAACCTTCTCTGTGTTTTTAAATCTGCAGCGCGTCCTGTTTTTCTTTCTTTTGCGTGTGATTGAGACTCTATTAAACAAACTGTGACAACCGTGTTTCCTAAAAACCAAACTTCCTGTGATGTCTGAATGATAAGATGAGATCTCTGTGTGTTCTCAGGGCAGCGTGTTGGAGACCAGGGAGCACCAGCCCGGCCGACCGGCCTCGTGGACCGGGCTCGGCTTCGCTCGGGTCCCTGAAGGCGGCACGCTGGAGCTGGTGATCAGCGACGTGCCGTACTCCATGGAGTACGACCTGCTCGTCCGCTACGAGACGCAGGTCAGGCGCCACAGATTTATATTTTCTGCCTGATTGTGTTTGTGTGTCGCTCATCGTTAATCTATTCTGTGTAATTCTGTTTAATTTACTGCTTCAGCCAGTCATATGTTAGATGGGGCGGGACTTGTCACCATGGTTACCCAGTTGAGAAAAAAACAGAAGAGATGCTACAAGTATTTTGTGATTTTAGTGATTTTAACCCAAAACAAATAGTGACCAACCAAATAGTTTCAAATGTATCAACAACCTAACATGTAAAAGTGTCTAACAAGCTAAAATTTTCCCAAACTTGACCACATAAAGCAGATTTATTTGTAGCGTTCCCAGTCCGTACATTTAATATCGACACCGGATATAATTAAAATGTCAGAGGAAACGGCAGAAGGGACAAGTTGTAATAATGAATTTAAAAATCACAGTATGTCTTATAAATTACTCTGAAAACATAACAAAGGTTTGTACCCAAACCCAGCTCATGTAACAGGGTTATTTTTTCCTAAACTGAACCAAATCATGTTCGTTCAGTTCAGACAAATTTATCCCAAAGATCAACTTATTTGTAGCTTTCCCAGTTCTTATGTTCAATATGAACAGACAACCAGATGTAGTTCAAACATCAGCAGAAACAGAAGGGGGGACAAATTAGAATAATCAAAATAAAACACAGTTTATCGCATAAATTACTCTTAATAAACAACCAAGGTTTGTGCTTAAACCTGATTCTGACCTTAACGGGTTAAAATGTCAAACAAAAGTTTTCGCAAACCAAGCCAAGTATTGTTTTCAGTATGAGCAGACAACCAGATGTAGTTTAATGTCAAAGGAAACCGTAGGAAGGACAACTTACCAAAATAAAATACATCAGCTCAGCATATATTATATATTACTCTTAAATAACAGCAGAGGTTTGAGCCTGAACCGAAGCAGAACGCTATACAACAGAAAACTGAACTCTGGTTTTCTGGGTTCAAGTCTGGTTCACGATTTGTCGCCTCCAGAGTTGCAAATTGCTTTTACTTCAAAATAAATTCAGTTACCTTTAAAACGTAGCTCAGGGTGCAGTTTAGCTGAACAGGAATGTAGTTTAGTTGGTTTAGTCATCATGTCTACTGAGGGATGCAGACTAATTAAACTACATGCTGACCCTGTGCAGATGCCTCGGGACTGGGAGGAGGTGAGGATCACAGTGATCCGTCCGGGCCCGATTCCCACCAGCAGCCCCTGTGGAAACACCATCCCAGACGACGACAGGATCAGCGTCTCTCTGCCGGCCGGATCCAGGTCAGCAGCTCTCAGTCTGGCAGGAAATAAACAAACTCTAACAGATAAAAAGGAACTCACTGGAGCGTACAGGTGAACGAAGGA